TATAAACAAAAAATAATTTAATTGTAGATGTTAATGATTTTCTTATCAATGCTAAAAAATAGAATATAAAATTTTAACCGTGATAGCTATTCTATTGGCTAAAAAATAGTTGTGATTAATTGCATGAAAGATATTTTATTCTATTGGTTAAAAAATTGAAATGATTACAGTTTGAGCTTGTAGGTTGCATGATTAATCTTAGTTGTGGTGATTGATATACATGTTTTGTTGTGGTTTATAGCATCAAATATACTTTATCCTGGTGGTTGAACATTTGAAATGATGATAGTTTGACCTTGTAGGTCACAGGTTCAAATCTTGGTCATGAAGATTGATGTACATGTTTATTTAGTTTGATTTTAATGTAACTAATAACTTAAAATGTTAAAAAAGACAAAATGACATGAAAAATTGTGGAGATTTCGTTGTCCTACGTGGCAAAAACTTGCTCCACAACGGCCATAATATAAGTTAAGATTACAATTTTTAAGTCCTTAACCCTCAAGGTTGTTAAACCCCTATCGGACCCGATCCGACCTAAATTGAGCTTCAAAACGATCTGCAAAAAGCCTCCCAGTCTGACCTCTAAAGATGGAGAAGAAGAGAGAGAAAAGAGAGGAGGGAGAGAGAAGGAAGGAAGATAGCAGGTGAATCATGGAGGTTAGGTATGTTTTATTTTGGGTTAATGCCACATTTGGTCATTGGGATTACAAAATCGTGTCATGTTTAGTCACTAGAAAAAAATAATATCAAATTTGGTCACTATAATTACTAAAACAGGTCATGTTTAGTCACTCTCCGTTAGTCTCCGTCTAACTCCGTTAGTGGAGTCAGTTATGTGCTTATGTGGCTAATGGGAGCGCCTAGTCAACGCCATTTTGGGTCGAAAATGGTCAAACCCGACCCGACCCCCACGTCACTAAACCTACCAAATCATATGCCCAACCCAACCCATTAACCCTACCCGAGCCATAACCAAAACCGAGCCTGTCACCACCACTAACATGCCTACCCGCCGTCCCACCACCACCGCAACCACCATCGTCCAATGACCACATCGGCGGGTGAAACCACCCTCCCCTGAAATCGCTCAGACTCGGCAGCTCAATAATCTCGCTCAACCCCTCCTCCTCCTCTTCCTCCGTCGACGACCTAAACTCACTTCTCCATTTCCCTGACTCAAGCCCTTACCTCGACTCTCTCCTCTCCGCCATCAGAATCATTGTCACTTTCCATCCTCTAGCTTCCTGTCTCTTCTCCTTCAAGCTCTTCTTCTCCTCCCTATCTCCCCTCCTCTCTTCGTCCAAGCCCCCTATCCCATCTCCGTCTTCTCTCTCATTCGACCGTCCTGCTTCCACCTACGACTCGCTCTCCCAGACCCTCAGCTCGTCTGTTATTTCCACAATTGACTGGAATGGATGCAGTTACACGAGGGCTTCACATCTTGAGCTCGATTGACGGTACATCATTGGATTGTGGGTTCTCTCCTGTTAGGTCGAATTTGGTTGTTCTGTTTTCCCCAAATGTAAAGTCTCTGAATGGACTGTCGGAGTTTTGGGGTGTGGATGCGAATGATGAGTGCTTGAGAAATGGGAAGGAGTTCACTTGAAGTTATCGTGGATTGTTTGGGGGTGTGAATGATGCGTTTGTGAGCAGAGATATTCATTTCAGCTAGGTTGATGTGAAGAGTTCGCTGGGTAGTTGGGAAGTTAGTGGTGGTTGTGATGAATTTTTGGTTAGATATGGAGTTTTTTAGAGTGGGATTAGAGATTTGGGATGGGGTTTTTGTTCCAGTGATAATGTTGTGGTGGGTTCTGCAGTGGTTCTAGGTCGGGTTGGGTTAATGGGTTGGGTATATGATGTGGCGGGTCAGGTTTGACCATTTATGGCCCAAAATGGGGCTGATTAGGCGCTCCCGTTAGCCACGTTAGCACATAACGGACTCCATTAACGGAGTTGGACGGAGACTAACAGGGAATGACTAAACATGACATGTTTTAGGTTTTCGAGTGACAAAATTTGATATTAATTTTTTCTAGTAACTAAATATGATACGATTTAGTAATCTTAGTGACCAAATGTGGCATTAACCCGTTTTATTTATTATGAAATACATTTTTAATCTGAATCGGCTCATGTAAAATAAATTTGATTTAGTCATTAATTATTAATTACTACCTTATTTGTATATATATTTAGAAAATATATAAATCGACTCATATGAGTCGAATCTTATCTGACTGATAAACCTCAAACCCCTTACTTGACCGGTTGAATCTTTACCCAGAAAAAGCCTGCTTATGTTGCAAATCTATCCGTCTCGGTCTCGCCATCTCCTCCGTTCTCCTCTTCTCATCCTTTCTCCTAGTTGTTTCGAAGAAAGAAGAATCTCCACCGGTTCCTTTCCCTCCGCCGGTACCAAGTGCTTGCGAAGATAATCTTTTCTTTCTGTTCTGAAAGAGCCTCTTTCTGCTTCCTTCGGTTAGATCGCACGGTGCAGACCCTCAATCCTTTACTTTTCATAGAAAATATCCCAACTTATTTTTATCTCCTATGTCGAAATCTGCTTGCTTTGCAGTATTGTACCAAAATATCTCCATCTGGTTGTGTTGCACTTAACAAGTACAGCAATTTTATGTTTTCTAAAGGTCCGACGTTGTCTCTCTTAACCGGTGCTTTGGCTCTGTATCTCCGTGGTATGGTTTCGTCTGACTAATAGCTGGATCCGGCGCAAACCAAGGTATAACCCTCGTTTTGTCTGTGGAAAATAGATCTACAATTCTGGTTTAGATCAAGTTATCTACTCAATCTTCGTTTTTTATTGAAAAGATATGAACTTTGTATTTGCTCTTTGTTAGATTTATCGTATAGACAGATTTACAAGCCAAATTTATGTAGCAAGTACCTCCAGGGGCGAAGCTTTGAAGCCTAATTTTTGAGTCGCTATTATATGATTGTATATTGCTAACATATAGTTGACGTTCAATGCACAAGTTGCTATATAGCTCTCATTGAGAGCTGCTCTGTCCTCGATTCAATACCCATTTTCTTTCATTAATTGGTTCTATCTCTCCTTATCTTTCATTGATTCTGCTGCTGCATGTGTATCTGACGTCTTCTCTTCTTTCCAGAACCCGATTCTGGTGGTTTGGTGGAGGAACCGGTACCTTTCTCAGATCTGTTAAAGAACAAGTGGGTCTCTAAGGCAAACAAAGCAAATCTCAGCGCAGAGAGGGCTGTCTTGTTTGATCGAGATCTGATTTTGGGCAAATGAAAGAAGACTACGAGGTAACCAATCCTTATACTCTGGTATTGACTTTCTAGTTTCTACCGGTCCTTGTTGTCGTCTAATGAAACCAGTGGCGGCTAATTCTTTTGCAACTTAATAAGAGGTTTCTCGATGTTAATTGATCGAGAATTAGATGAACCTTTGGCCTGGAACCCTAGAAATTCTAAGTTATGGTCTCTAAATCTTAGGAAATTTTGGAGTACATATCTCTCCATATTCAGATCATATTGCAGATTTTCTTCCTTGTGGAATGAATCACTCTCAGCTAGGTGTTCTTGGTTGATTGTGCAAAGTACTTTGTGGTTGGTTTACTGTTAGATAGGAGAAAAGTATGATGATGGTTTATGTATAATGACTAAATTGGCAGATTGAAGAGAAAAAGGAAGCTGCTGCTGATTTATTGTTCAACTACTCCAAGTTTGTGATGGCATGTATCGGGAACCAAGTTCGCCCCTGCGACATGAGATTGCATCTCATGAAGGTAGTGATCTACCACACTCCCCTTTACGAACTTCTTGCTTCTAAACATCTGTTGCTTAATTGGTTGTAATAGAATACAAGAGTGTCTTAGCTTCCGGATGAGTTACAGACTAGGATTCTGAATATGTTTTCACAGTCCTATCATCATCGACTACATCTGTCTTTTTGCTTTTGTATTCAAATTGTAGTAAATGACTTGTGGTAGCATTGCTTGTGGCCTGCCGTTAATGGAGCTTTCCATTTGCTATGCGGGTTGTGTATGTTTGTCAGGAGATATCAGGAATGCCAACTTCTCTGAAGAAAGAGCCTTCTCAGATGGCAAACTCACCTGATGCGATGGGTGAATCCTCCAGCTCGGGTACTGCGAGGCTTGATAAAGTCGACAGCTTTCATGCACATTAGCTTCAGAGCATATTGTAAATTCATTGGTTCAGTTTCCTCCCTTCACAGTTTCTACTCTTTGTTATGTATGTGATTCCGTGTAACTAGGTAGATTAGCCAAACCATTTGCCTAATAGCAGATCGCGGCTTCCTTTACATGTGTGTGGTTATCCCTATTAATCTCGGATATCTCTATGCGCTGAGAAAGAGATCCACTTGTTTGCCTTAGAGACCCTCTCTGCGTTGAGATTCTGACATTTAATAGGAGAGGAAAAAGCAGCAGGAGGAGGAGCAAACTGAATAGGAGCAGTCAACTGACATGGAGGAAGGCGAGGAGCAGGGTGATGGAGTAGAGGGGGAGCCAGTCGACTTTAACCCTTTTCGAGACTCTGCCAGTTATGTTAACGTTATGGGAAAAAACTAAAAGGGTTAATTGCAAGGTTGGTCACTGATATTACTACCAAAAACGTTCATGTTTAGTCACTAAAAATATTTAATTCTATTCGTGGTCACTAAAATTAGTAAAACATTTCAAGTTCGATTACTCTCCGTCTAATTTCGTTAACTTTAGCTGATGTGACAGTCAACTCTGAAAGTTGACCGTTAAATGTATGACGTGTCACTTAAAAAATAATTAAAAAATTTAAATTTTATATTTTAAATATTCCACCTAATTATTATCATTACTAAAAAATAATAATAAAAACCTAATTCTTCTACTACCTCCGCCGAACCCGCTTTCTCCTCCCCGACTCCACCCGCCGCCATCACGGCTGAAGACCCTCTCGTGTCGTGGTCTCTGCTGAAGAACCTGATCTGGATGTTCGCGGTCAGGTAGTTACCCGTCTACATGAAGATCAGCGTCTTCGTCCTCGTCTTACTCAAACAAGTCTCCGTTCCTGAGAAAAAGCTCTTCCCTCAAGTACGCCGCCGGCGATGGCGAAGGGGCAGGCGAGGGTTACTCTAAAAAGGGGGGTTCGTCGTCAATCGGGCGGAAATGCACCAACTTGGTGAAAGAACAGAAGGCCAGATTCTACATCATGCGCCGCTACATCGCTATGCTCGTCTGTTGGCACAAGCACGCCGCCGATCCCTGACCCACATCATCATCCAACCCAACTCTCTCTCTCTCTCCTCGTCCTCTGGCCAGGGCAAGCTCATGAATCGCCAATTGATGCATCAATTAATCTCGTTACCGGATTAATTGATTGCGCACGGCAGGCGGTCAATCTTGATTTATTCTTGTTCTTTTCACTTGTGGAATTTTGTTTGTGAGAGAATTGAAGGACGAGACAAAGGCAACATCTAACAGATGATCAATTGCTCTGCTGTTACAGAGTTGAGCATAAGTTTTCTCCTTTACTTTTCCTTCTTCTTCTTCTACATTCTTTTTCTACTTCTATCAGGTTTGTCATGAGCTTGATTGGGTTGAGCTTGTAGAATCATATATGACGAGGTGTAATTAGTTAGAAACGATTTGATGAATCAATGATGATGATATATAAAATGCCCAGAGCATAGCTGAGCTCTAGCTAGATACAAAACCCAGTGCCATTACTATGATTCCATCCATCTACTTATAGTACTGTTTGTTCCTTACGGTCAAGTTGAGCTCTTTCTGGGTTTTCTTACTCAATTTTGCAGCTTGAGACGACTCTGGAAATCAATGATCGGTTTAGGGAAAAGGGATGTCTGCCATTTGAAGATTAATGAGTTGTAAATGGTAACAGAGATCTCAATATATGCCCCTCAATCACTGTTAGTACCAACTCTCAAAGAACCCGATCTGGATGTCGGACCTTCAGCGGTGATGGCGGCAGGTGCGGCGGGTGAAGTCGGGGAGGAGAAAGCGGGTTCCGCCGAGGTAGTAGAAGAATTAGGTTTTAATTTTTATTTTTTTAGGGAAGATAATAATTAGGTGGAATATTTAAAATATAAAATTTTAATTTTTTTAATTTTTTAAGTGCCACGTCACACATTTAACGGTCAACTTTGAGAGTTGACTGTCACATCAGCCAAAGTTAACGGAGTTGGACGGAGAGTGACCGAATTTGAAATGTTTTACTAATTTTATTGTCAACGAATGGAATTAAATATTTTGAGTGACTAAACATGAACGCTTTTAATAATCTCAGTGACCAAACTTATAATTAACCCAAAACTAAAATGATAAAAGTACTATGAAAAATTGTGGAGTTTGTTGAATTCTACGTGGCAAAAGATTGCTCTAAAACAGCTAAAATATAAGTTATATAAATAGATAGATGAATATAGATACAAACTCATCAACTTCTATCTATTTACCAATTTGGATTTCGAACTCAACCAAATTAGGTTGGATAGTAAAACACCATGAATATAGAATTATGGACAAAATTGTCATCCTAATTTTTTCGGGTCTGACATCTAGTCCAATTCTTGAAATAGAAAATACCGAGTTCTTAGATATTGTTTGGATGAAGAATTCTAACGGATCAATTTGACCAAATTGTTTTTTTTAGACAATATGGCCAAATTAATCGGTTTGGGAGCACAAATTTTAGATGAAGCAATTTTGTCTAGTGAATTTCAAATTTGCAGGCAGATATAACTGTTTAGGGTGGAGGCAGACAATTCGAATTGACTCATTTTAAATGACTCATTTTGTAAAATGAGATAATTGACCAAATTATTTATTTTTCAATTGATCCATCCAAACAACCTCTTAATTGTTTTTTGTTTTTTTTTGGATAATATCTATTTTTTATCCAAACCTTTTTTAGATTCTTTTATATTATCCAAACTTATTAAAATGCTATTAATTGGCCAAATCTTTCGTAATGCATCAAAATATTAGTCATTTTTACGTTATCGTTAATAATTTTGTAACTCTTTTCTTAGTTAAAATATTATTTTTTTCAACTAAAATACTAAATTTTTGGAATGTTAACATTCATGTGTATCTTCCAAGTCAATATCATGTTGCCTAGTCAATATTACTAACAAAATTGTTAACGGAAAGTTAACAGTTGACAAATTTTTAGTATTTCAATAGTTTTGACTAATAAAAAAGAATTCGAAATTTTTTTAGCTAATAAATAGTTATTATTTTTTTAATCAGAGTGACACTCGATTTCACACACATGCCAACGTAAAGCTTTTGGGCCGACTCCGACCAATTCATATAGGGCTGCCCAGCTAACCTGTGCGGCTTTTGATATCATTTTCAGCCCATCATCCTTATTTCCGTCTTTACCCTCCTCTCTTCGATTAGTAACGCAAAAACCCTAGTGGTGAAAACGTCAAACCACAAGGGCTACCCATCCCCACAATCTTCCAATCCCTTACCTCATTTAAATACAGAACCCTAATCGCTCTCTCAAGCTCCCTTTCCGCCGCACGAGAACCCCCAACCACAAATCACACAGATCCGCCTCTGTTTCCTCCGCCTCCGGGTAGAAAAATGACCACTAGGTTCAAGAAGAACCGCAAGAAGAGAGGCCATGTCAGCGCCGGACACGGTCGTATCGGCAAACATCGCAAGCATCCTGGTGGTCGCGGTAACGCCGGAGGTATGCACCACCACCGGATCCTGTTCGACAAGTACCATCCAGGCTACTTCGGCAAGGTCGGTATGAGGTACTTCCACAAGCTGAAGAACAGGTTCTTCTGCCCGATCGTCAACATCGACAAGCTCTGGTCCATGGTTCCTCAGGAGGTGAAGGACAAGGCTGGAAAGGATGGCGCGCCGATGATTGATGTCACTCAGTTTGGTTACTTCAAGGTGCTCGGAAAGGGAGTCTTGCCGGACAACCAGCCTATCGTGGTGAAGGCGAAGCTCGTGTCCAAGACTGCGGAGAGGAAGATCAAGGAAGCCGGCGGAGCCGTTGTACTCACTGCCTGAAAATGGGTACTATTTTGCTAGGGTTTCTTCGCTTGTTATTTGAGATATAAGTTTTTGGAACCAGTATTAATGTTTTATTTACTTAGTGAAGTTTTTGGATGGGTTGAATTGTGGTATGGATGATATTTGGTTTATGCAAAGATCTACATTCGAAATTATACTTGCTTGCCGTTGAATTCTGGGCTCTTGAAATGTGGTTGCTTGTACATGCCCTAGTTTGATTGGATTCATTCTGTAGGGTTTTGGATTGATCGATGATTGAAGCTCATTTTGACTTGACTAATGAGCAGTAGTTGTAGTTAGAGGATTCGGTCATGAATTTGAATGGTTTTGTATGGAGTTGTATCGAATGCCAGATGTGATGTATATGAGATGTTAATTGGGGCGAAAGATGAATAAAGCAGTGGAAGCAATGTGGGTTGCTTAGGTCCTTTGGGAGATATGGCTTAATCTTATTCTCTGATAGCTTAGCCATCATTTTGGCTGATGAAGGTCGGTACAACCGGAGTGAGAAAATGCTGAGTCTTGAGACTTGAGAATATGCAGAATAGTGTTCCAGGCAAGGTTTTCCTCTTGTTGGGGACGATAGTTGTTTGTATTAAGCAGTTGAGTGCAGTTACCTCTGCTTTATGTTAAAGCATGTTCCTCTGGTTTATGCTATAAAACCAAAACCGGGGTGTGATGGAAGAAATCTGAAATGGCTTGTACCACAGCTTTTTGGTCTGCAGGTTGTCGTTCATTGCTGGGTTTTGTACCTGGTTTAATACTTAATCCATCCATCGTTAGCAACCAATATTACTACACCCTTCTCTCAGTATGCCTTTTATCTGTGATTGTGCGTGAATTTGGTGGTAGTTCCCAGTGGCAGTTTATTTGCTTATATATCTCGTGATTTCGACGTTGTCCTGTGTGTTTCTGTCATTATGTTTTTATTTGAATTGTGATACCCGCAACAGCCAACATGCAATAGGCAAAGTTAATTATGTGTTGACTTTGCTGTGAAGTTTCGAGCAAAGATGAAGGAGAACCATATAACAAGGAGTAGTTATATGTTCTGGTTTTTGCCCAGGAATTGAGCACTGCCCAATCCCAGTAGCTTTAAAATGATAATAAAATTTGTCCCTTTTGACGCTAAATTGCGGAAGATACTTGAAGCACATTTTATATCAAGCGTTAGTCTCTTTGGTTGCTTCATCTCCTCCCCATCTTCTTATCCTTTCTTCAGCAGCAGAAGCCTGCATTTCCATAGCCCAAAACAATGCTTTTTGTTAGTATCTTTTCTAACTCCTGGACCAGATTGGTTTGCATCTCAAATAACGAAAAACAACCAAGACTCACCTCTTTGTTCCAGTTGGTTCTGTAGACCATCCAGAAGAGAACCAGAGTCTGTAGTACTGTCCCTCCCAGCATCCCATACCAGATCCCCTGCAACATCCCAGAGTTAAAAAAAAGAAAAAACATCAACAAGTTCCCGATGCCAATATGATTGCTATGTCTATTTTCTTTGCTCTCAAGCAGCCCCCCTTACCGTGACACCCAGGTGTAGCACGTAGCCGAAAATTAGACCAATGGGAATCCCAAACGCGTAGTAGCAAGCAATGTTCACATATGCCACTGCTGCTTGCCATCCTGCTCCAATGGCCACCCCTGAACCGAACAGAAGCAACAGCTCAGTATCACATTACAGCAGATCAGTTCTCATGGCAACAGCACCAAACGAAGTTCGAAGTAAAGCTTACCGGAGAGAACAGGTTGGACGTTGTTGATGATAATGGAGAGAGCTAACAATGGGGTGAGCGCCTTCACTAGTGCCTTGACGTCGGTATCACTGGAGAACAGAGCTGGGTACCCGTTTTTGGCAATGAAGAGGATAAGGGAGATTAGGAGTCCCGTCAGGAAGGAAGATATCACTGCTACCACTAGCGAGAACCTTGCGGTTCTTGGATGGGCTGCTCCTAGTTCGTTCGACACCCTTACGCTGCACGAATGAGTCGAAGAAATGAAACAGCAAATCACTTTGCTATGAACCCTTTCAGTAATTTTACATTTGGAATTCTCAAAATGTGGTTAAGAAAATGCTAACCTGATGGCTGCATTGATTCCCAGGGCCACCATCACTGTCCACCCCAGTATATTCATGCTGCATAAACAAATTCCACAAAGAAGAAAAGGGGCAGACAGCACTATCAGCCAAGTTAAATACTATAAAAATCTTGACCATTTGGCTGGATGCAAACAGGGGCAGCGAATCTCCGGTCCAATTTTATCGTTTTGTTGTTTGTCCATCGAATTATCTGTCTCTATTCATCTAATTTCAGCATCAAGATGCAGCAAAAGCAGAACCCAAATTGGACTTCGATTGTCACATGAGTTACAGGTCAATATTTGTAGTCTCAGAGCCAGCTATCCGATAAGCACGCTTGTCGCAACCCGGCTAAGGTACTCAGTCATAAGCCAACTGCAAAAACATGTTCAAAGATGTTTGGCATGGTTGGATCAGATCGAGACGAGTGATTTGCGATCGTTGGATGAATGTGGTGACAATTTATTACATCCAATCCAGCGATCACGAATCGGCTCCACGCGATCCAACAACTCCCAGCAAAATTGAGCACCTTCTCACATATGCTCTGACTGTACTTGTAACGCTTGGCGTAACCATGGATACACGATAAGGCCAATTTATTTGGGAAATAGCCAAACTGACCTTATGGACAAGGCATCGACAGCGACCTCTGCATTCTTCAGATACCCAGCAAAAAGGATCAAAGCCATAAAATACCAAACTTCCAAGCTGCAACCATAGGAAAAATGTTACAACTCCAAAAACACCAAACTCTTCCCCCGAATCCCAAATTAACCCCAAAAATCCCAAAATCTGACAAACCAGGTCCTCACCAGAGCATAACAGCCGAAGCAAGTGACAACCTGACGAACCCCCACAAATTCTGAAACGCCTTCCACGAAAACCCACTCCAGGCCTGCCCACAAGTCCCACTGAAGATGTAGAGAAGCTGAGCCACGACGATGAACCACCACGAGCCGTTGAGGACCACCGCGGCCCCCACCATCCCCCAGCCGAGCTTCAGCATCAGGAGCCAGCTGAAGAAAGTGTGGAGGACCAAGGCGACGGTGGAGATGACGGCCATGGCCATGATCTTGCTCTGAGACTGGAGGAACTTGGCGATGGGGAAGTTGACCGCGTAGGCGAACAGCTGTGGCAGCATGTAGATGGAGAAGGTCCCCGCGGCTCGGGAGATCTCCGGGGTCTGCCCGATCAGCTCGAGGAACGGCCCGGCGAAGATGTAGAGGAAGCTGAGGAGGAAGGCCGTCGTTGTGAGGATGACCCATGATCTCTGCATGTAGATTCCTAACATGTCCAGCTGTTTTGCTCCGTATGCTTGGCCGCAGAGTGTCTCCAGAGCACTCCCCATTCCAAGCTTACATTCATTGAGATGAGAGAAAGAGATGTCACCAACATCAATTAATTAAGTCTGAAGTGCTAAGTTCAGCTCTCTCGATTGCTTAAGTCAATATGATGGAACATGAATAGGATGACAATTCATGGTAATTTTATCGTAAACTCCTTGATTATGGGTAATGTATGAGGGAAGTATATATATGAATTTGAGATTTAGTCGATGGGTTTGGGTTGTGTATAGATGGTCATTTACTTGAGATTGTTTCACTCACAAATACAAAATCGGTCCAATTTGTAAAACATAAAAAATTTATATATCAAAATGTAAGACAAAAAATTTTAGGTATTAAAATATAAATTTTCGATCGATATTTTAGGATTTGTATGCAAAAAAAGCTTAAATTAGGTACTAAATCTAAAGATCTATTAACTTTAGACATCAAACTGCAATCTTCACATGTGTATGAGTATAAAGTACAAATTCAAGCCCATTGATTAAAAATCGAACCCAACCAAAATAAATGGGTATGTGCAAATTGCAATAAACTCATTAAACTTTACCCATTTACTCTGAATTTGGATTTCATAACTAACCCAATCGAGTTGGATAAGGAAATACTCATGGATTTAACCAAATTTGTCATCCCTTTACTTGAATGATTAAATTTAAAATATTTAATCAGTCATATGAATTAATTGTGGATACGATAATTATTGATACCATAAGAAGGAGAGAAAAAACTACTTTATTGTGTCCTTCAATCATAATAATGAGGTTTTCATTTGAGCATACGTATCAGGAAGCACTGAGCCTTACATTAAACCTATATACAAGAAAAAATCTAGAAAGGGTAAAAGCGAGTTGGAAAAGAACAAAGTTTTGACTCTGACTTGGTGGCAATCACTTTCACCCTTAATTTGTGGAGAGGCCAAGTAGAAAAGAAAAGGGGGGAAATCATGAAGAAGCTAAGCTAGGGTGAAATAAATAATTTGTCAGAAAAGTACCATGGCACCAAAGGAGAAGCCAGCAATAACAGAGTTCTCGACAGAGATAGCAGCAAGCTCCAAGGTGCCAACATGGCCGGCGAGGACTTGGGTGACGGCTCCGAGCGAGTACTGGCACAAGGTGGTGAAAACTGCCGGGCCGGCAAGGTACCACAGCTTCTTGGACTCTGCACAGAACTCTGTGTAGAAATCCTGAAGGCCGTTGATGGGCTGGATGTCTTCTGCGTCAGCTGTAAAAGAAGGTGATGATGATAAAGGAGGAATCGGGTCTTGCTGCTGCTGTATGTTATCGTTTGGAGCAAGAAGAAATGGCTGCTTGGATTCCTCCATCGAAAGGAAGAGAGGGTATAGGGGTTCTGGAGGAGAGGAGTCTTTTTTTCTTCTTCTTCTTTCTTTTGGGTCTGTCTGAAAGTTCGGTTTTAAGGAGTGGAAAGGAGAAAGGGAGGAGGGTGTATTTTTTTGTTTGTAAAATGAATAGACATGTTTCAGAGATTTGTCCTTTTTTTTTCTTCTTCTTGTAATGGGCTAATGGCTTGAAAACTATATTTTTCTAAATTGTTGGGTTTTAGCCTTTTGTCTTTTGGGGGGTGTCCATCATCATTGGCAGTAATTATTAACCTTTTCTCTACTTAATTGTTTTATTAGTGCTTGGAATTTAGTTTCTAGCCACTTGCAAACAATGAGAAATTCACAAATTCATTGTTAAAGAAATTCATTATACTTTCGCTTCATTGCATTACTTAGTTGTTGTCATATATTTACATCCGAGAACTTTCATGGTTAATTATATACGGTTCTTTCGTAATTACGCTGCACATTGTACCTCCATTTTAGTGCACTACATCAACACAAGAATTGACAAATAAGTAAATAACCCCCTAAGAAAAATAAAAGATATAGGATAATGTCTATTTTTTATCCAAACTTTTTTTATATTCTTTTATATTATACAAACCTATTAAAATGCTATTAATTAGCCAAATCTTTCGTAATGCATTAAAATATTAGCCATTTTTACGTTATCATTAATAATTTTGTAACTCTTTTCTTTGTCAAAATACTAAAATTTTGCAATGTTGACCTTCATGTGTCTTTTTCAAGTCAGTATCATGTTGCCAAGTCAATATTACTAACAAAATTGCTAACTGGAAGTTAACATTTGACTAATTCGTAGTATTTTGATAGGTTTGGATAATATAAAAGAATATGAAAAAGGTTTGGATAAAAATAGACATTACCAAAAATATATGATATCCATAACTCGAATATATATGAGTTTTTTCATCTAAACAAAGAATATATATGAGTTTGAGATTTAGTAGATGAGATTGGGTTGGGTATGGATGCCATTTACTTGAGGTTGCGTTAATTACACATACATAACTCTTGTAAACCATACAAAAATTTAGGTATGAAAATGCAATACACAAAAATTTTAGGTACTAAAGTAATTTTCCATCCATATTTTAAGACATATGCAAAAGGAGTTTAAATTAGGGGTGATAATGATTGTTATGAAGTCTCTCTGCTTTCATGCCAACAAACTCTTGTAGTAGTTAACTTGTGAACTTTAGAGATTAAGGTGGATATTTCATTTTACAAGCAAAGAAGAGCCCCAAGTTTGAACTTTCCACTTGGCATGGACATCGAGCTCTGGATTACTTGTGCATTGCGTTCGGTTCACAACCTTAATTAAGGTTAATCATCCTAGATTTGTTTTTATTAAATGGAGGTGGGAAGAACCAGCCTACAGTTAATCATCCTAGATGGAGATGCATCTGTCTGTCTACTAGTATTTGTTCAGTTAATCACTTATTTCCGCACACTTTCAACTCAAATCATCCTTCACCCAACTGCACTATAGTTTCTGCACGTAATTACATGGATCTGCCAATTGTCCTCTTCGTGTTCATCCGAAATACTGATGTAGCGTTTTGTAATATCTGCAGACTTAAGGTATTTGGGGATTGGATATAGTGCCCACCTTATAGTGGCGCGGTAAACTGGTGATCATGGCGACAATTAAAGAGAAAATTGAGTATTTTGAATTTGGGTTAATATCTTATTTGGCTCGAAGTTTGGTGTAACCGTGTAAGTGACAGGTTTGTACAGATTTTTCCAATAAGATATTTATGGCCAAATTTTGAAACTATTGCACAAATATGGCCCGAGATTTTTTTTGATTATTTCGTTAGTGACTCAACATCTAGGGCTGAAGTGGCAGTGATGTGGCTTCCATGTCATTTATTTATGCTAAAAAATTCAAAAATAAATAATAACAAATAAAATAAAAATAAATAACATAAAATTTTGGATTCCTCTCTATCGACTCTCTTATCTTCTTCTTCCTTCTCTCCCTCTATCTTTCCCGTCCACAAGCGCCATCAACTTCCCCCTCTGTCGCGATCGTCGTCCCCTCATATTCCACTTCTTCGTTGTCGTCCTCATCAAGATCGACGAATTCGGGTCCGATTCAGGTTGGGGAGAAGTGGAGGGAGCTGCAAGGAGAGAAAAACAACTAGTGGGGGTTCGTCTTCTCCCTCGAATTTCATCTTCTCCCTTGAATCGATCTGGAGGAAAATCGAAAGCAAGGGGAAGTTAGCAGTTGGAGATCTGAGGCCAACGATTTCTTCTCTCCTCGCCGTCCGTTGCACCACCTATCCGCCAGCGATTGTGGTGCAGAGGTCATCGACGCGATTCCTCTTCCTCTTGTTGGACTGTTGAGCTTCGCCCGCGTGGACATTCTGCAAAAATTTTATGGAGAGGGAAGGAGAGAGCTTTCTTTAGAAGAATGAAATGAAGGCAGCTGGAGGGGGCATGACAGCGGCATCGAAGAGTTGTCGGCCGCCACCGGTAGCCTTGGGAAGAGAGGGGGTGGGAAATGGGGGGTTAGCTAGCTAGGGAATGGATAAATCATTATTGATGGATGGATGAAGGTCAAATAATAGGGGTAGAAGAAGGCAAGATTGGTGAAGGTCAAACATTCACATGTCGTTTGCTTGAAGGTTTCCATGATGGATTTGGGCATGGAAACCCATCCATAATGGATTTGCACTAAAAACCATTGTTTGCATGAGAGAATTAGCAAAATGAAATCTGTGGGGCCCACGAACTTTGGGGCTCCAAATCCGTGGGCCCCATGGACTAGAAGGTTCTAGCTATTGAGGTGGGTTTCCATCATGGATTGAAGTCCATGATGTGTATTTACACTCGTGTCCCTTCATATTTTGTTATTATCAGCCGTGCCCTTTTGTTTCCTTTCCGAAAATTTGGCAGATAAAAGGCGAAGCTTCTGTTTGCGAGCCGCAAGGGAAAATTGCGAGGGAAAATAATTGACTAAAATAACTCAAGAGAAAGGAAGTCGAATCCTCTAATAGAGAAGTTTCGCCTCGTCATCTTCGATCTTCTCCTCCGTTGCTATCATCGATCTTCACCTCCGTCGCTGCAACCAGGTATGCTTTCTGTGGGCGTGATGTTGCAACATCTACTCCAACACTAGATGATGACGTGTTTGCAGCTTTGGTTAAGGTAATTTATTACATATAAGTTCACATGGTCTTTGTATATATGTATTGTTAGTCATTATCATCTGAACACAAGTGCTTCATTGTAGGTTTGCTCAAACACAAAAATATGAACAAAAAGCCTTTCTTATTTTATAATGACATTTTGAAATTGTTTGGGAAGGTTGGACCTGCAAATGGAAGGAAGACTGTTGGTCTGACCAATGATGTTCACTCCCAAATGGTCGAGTACCTGCATTTTTTTGACTTGGATGGGCTTCAGATGGAGAGTGTAAAGAGGTTAGTGGAGGATTTGATAAATGAAGGGATTGAGAGTCAGAGGGTCACTCATCCATCTCCAACAGTTGTGCCTCCATCTCTAGCTGTTGTTCATCCAGGACAAGGGAGCAATAAGAGGGCTAAGAAGATAGAGAGTAAGATGGATGATGCTATTGCTGCTGTAGCTCAGAAATTATGTGGGTTGAAGCATGTCATATCCAAGGCACTTGATGCTCTAGGCACCATTTTAAAAGACCGCGAGGAAGACACTAGAAAGGAAGTTGCATTGATGGTTGAGATTGGGAAAATAGAAGGTCTGCAACGCTGCCAAGGGCTAGATGCTGCTATGTCATTAGTTGAGAATGATCGCAAGATAAGACTTTTCTCCACTCTTGATAATGAGGAGGATCAGAAGTACTTCATTCACAACTTATTGCGTTGAGAAGTGCTGACTCATGGGAGCTATTAGCTATAGTATGTAGTATCGTTCATAGTATATTGTGACGTATATATGTATGGAGGATTGTGCATTTTGAACAGAACACATATAGTATGGATAGCATGCAAATGTTAAAGAAGGAGGTCGATTATGTTGGAAAATTTCCAAGTCATTCCTATATGTGTCGAAGAATTGGCTATGTACTTAGTTTAAGTTGTATATGTCTGACTTATTAATATATGCTACAATCTTTGTATTTTCACTTCCCTAATTACAAAAACAGAAGCGACAATGCCAAAATGGCTATTGCAGGACGTGCTAAATACTGAATGATCACAAACTCTACTATCCAAGTATGCAAACTTGTGGGTTGATCCGTGATATGCAGAAAGCAGTATCAAAGCTATCTAGAGAACTATCTGCAGAAGCCAAATTCATGAATCAAAGCACCTCATTTCATTACTCCTTAAATCTTCCATTACACAACTCTGCTTCTCATTAACAAGTCTATTGGGATCACTTTAATGGAGCACAAAATTGCAGCACTTAGCAGCCCTGGATTCTAATTTGAAACACCCATATAGTCATTAGAGCTTTGAACTCCCAACCTCCAAGTGGTCCAACCTCAACTTAATCGAATTAATGGCAACAACTATCTCTTCGTATTTCATTACTCCTTAAATCTTCCATTACACAACTCTGCTTCTCATTAACAAGTCTATTGGGATCACTTTAATGGAGCACAAAATTGTAGCACTTAGAAGCCGTGGATTCTAATTTGAAACACCCATATAGTCATTAGAGCTTTGAACTCCCAACCTCCAAGTGGTCCAACCTCAACTTAATCGAATTAATGGCAACAACTATATCTTCGTAGCATGATATCATATTCTTGCTTTTAATTCTAGCATCAACACTATGCTTGGATACTCTGTCTAATTCAACACGAAGATCTGCATTCTCCAACTGCAAATTCGAAACCATTTCACCAAGTCTTTTCGTCATTGTATAATGCAGCTCTAATGTCGTGCCATTCAAAATCATCACAAGGTTCCTTCTACTGTGTCCACAAACATGCTACGAGTCACTAGCTCAAACAAGACAAACTAATTCACTTAACAAACAAAGCTTTGAACAAAATTACTGAAACTCAAACCTTAGAACCGAACAGTGGACAACCAAAATTTATCCGATTCGGGTTGTCAACAGTATGTGAAATTCTTCGAGAAGCTCTCAGCCCGCAACCGCATAATACCTCTTCATCCACGTAATAGAATGCATCAACCACTTTCTGCCCCTTTCCCTCGCTGGCCATGATAGCCTCTCTCGAATTAAGAAAAACAAACAGAGAAGTTGGAGCATAATGTTGGGACAAACCTTCTACAC